TTAAATTTTTTTATTGATTTAATCGGTGGTAAACGCCTGAGGAGACACAACGAAACGAATTCGGAATACCATGCAAAAATACGCTGTTGTGTTCTGTCCTCATGTTTCGTTTTGAATCATTTATGCATTCATTCTTCTCTAAATACCTCTAAAAAATCATTCATCTGTAGCACCCATTCGGTACCTTAACTGCCATGCCACCAGAAGGAAGCATGAAGGCTGGGATACTGCCAGATCGGCTGGGATATGCCAGATCGCCCAAGCCTAGACTGGGGAAGTCGAGAGGAAATACATCGATGTATAAACGATGTTGTAATCTCAATGTAAAGGAGATTAGCAACTAAAATCCACAGAATACTAAGTAAACAAAATCACCCTAGATGTGGTCACTTTTTTGGCACCTGCTACCACCATAGTTTTAAGGTCAAACTTTTACTAACGTATTCTTCAAAGCTGACCCTCTATACTGTAATAATTTGTGAATTTTAGCAAACTCTGTTAAGCACCGCGTTTTGAACTGGAGGTTTGTTTGTGCCGGAAAAGGAAACACTTCTGGAGAGCTTGGTCAGACACAGCAGCACATTTTTTGTCCCTAGTTTGTGACTGCTTGGAAGTTGACTGTATCACGAAGGTCAGAGTTCTGAAAGCAACCGCTGAGTGCCCGAAATCTACTGGGACCCTCAGCTCCGATAAGTACTGACCAGACAGACAACACCCCCTCAATATGCGGCGGGTCACAGCCTTGTGTCAAACCCAGACAGCGCGAGTCAGCACTAATCAAGGTCAGACAACGCCCCCGCAACATGCAGCCGTCACAGCTTCGTACCAAAGCCAGACCGCGTGCAGCATTGGGCCAAGTTCAGTGTCCCTCCAGTGAATAGCTTGGGATCATTGTAATTTCGCGCTCGCACGCACTCACACTCTCGCACTCGGTTGTTCGGACTATGACCGTCGTGTTCCCTTCTGTGAGTCCTTTTTCCGGCACCAGGCCCTGGAGCGGGTTAGAAGCCAGATACAACAGTTTGGTGAATCGGCAAACATAACAGATTGAGAAGAAACTTATGTGCGGACGAAACGACCCTTTTGCTACGTATCTCACCCTGGAGACAGCATCCTGTGTAGGCTCTGTACATAGAGAGGCAAACTAGTTTTGAAATCGAACTCTACCTCAACCTTACAGGCAGGTTGTATATGGCCTTTTTTCATCAGCATTCGATGCACCATTCACTGAACCCGTAAGTGGAACATGGACTGGTACGACAAGCAACCACCAGATCAGCACTACACTAGCCTTCCGTTAACCACTGCTTAGCCTTCGTGTCCTCGGTTGTTCATGACTTTTGTTCAAAGCCTTTCTGTTTTTTCGTGAATGCCTACAAATTTTACACTGGATTGGCTTGTTTTGAAATGGGGCCTCTAACTGGAGTGGCTCATAACGATGGCAAATTTCAAAAAGGAAAGGGGTTGGGGTTGGCTGCAACGTAGGATTTCCTCATAGATCGGAAGCTGCGATTCACGAACGCGACTGATGCTGCAGCGCAAACGGACAAAATCTTCCAACTGGCAATGAAGGAGCAACGCCATTGGTTACCCATCAAAATGGTTTTACAACCTGAGAGGAGAGGTCTGACGCACTTCCACCAGAGGTCATGTAACTCCCTAAATCAACTTCCTAGACGCTGGCGAGGAAACATCTTCCGGATAGCTGTAAAGGCTCTGTTGTGCCGTGCGGTATAAATCAGTGTAATCATTTTCGGCTTCATCGAACCGTAGTTCAGATTTAGTTGAGCAAGATCTTCACTCAAGCCAAGTAGCCCTTAGACGCAGTGAGTTCAGTGTATTACATCACGTATAAAAAGCGTATCTAGTAGTTCGAATATTCACCAAACCACATACTTTCAAATGCTCTCTATATGTGTTTGATTTTGTCCAGAATGTTTTGGAAAAGTTTGGAAGGATAACCTTCTGCCAAAACTATCTGAAGTCATTCGTGCGATTCGGATTTTCGTGTTCCCTGTGGAGAATTGGAACCGCGTAAAATTAGGGAATACGATGTTGGAATGGAAGAAATTGAACTAAGGATGAAAATTTATGAGAGATTAGCACCGTCTAACTAGTTCAAACAGATTTCAAGGTTTAATAGTTGTGTAAATATTGGCCTATACTACACACTTGTGTTCAAACTTGATATGTGTCTCCAGAAACCTGTTTGTTCCTATTGTTGTACCCAAGCTTATGGATCTGAAAGGAGAGTCCACCGTAGCCGTCTTACTTTTAATGCATATAATCTACAAGAGAACTCACTCTGCTTAGTGAACAAATATGACATCCGAAAACCGAGTGAAACGTTCGGTGTACGGACCACTATTACGGTGCAAGTACAGGACCAATGGGCTGAGATATGTCTGTCTGTCAGTATAAGGTGAAATGGGACTAAAATTATATTGGACACGCACTGCTTATGAGCTCTAATAAGAGCGAAACTCACGTCCTGCGCATCCCCTCCTTTGGTGTGGACTCACCGGAATGAATGCACCAAGGCATGAGGACTATTGTTTAGACGAGATTCATGTGTTTAGTATGTATCCTACAAAACACCGCAACTAACGACACCTAAAGCGTATGTGTATTGTTATATCTTCTGCTTCGCCGGTCTGTGGTATCTGCTGCTGACCCGCTCCAGTGCCTAGTGTCGGAGAGAAAAAGACTCACGGAAGGGAACACAATAGCTATATTCCAAAAAAGTGGTTGCGAGAGCGCGAGTGCGTGCGAGTGCGAAAAGTACAACGGCCTCAAGCTTTTTATTGGAAGGACACTGTCTGAACTTGGTCCAGTGCTGACGCACGCGGTCTGGCTGCGACGTGCTGCATATTGCGGGGACGTTGTCTGACCTTGATTAGTGCTGACTCGCGCTGTCTGGGTTTGATACAAGGCTGTGACGCGCTGCATATTGAGGGGGCGTTGTCTATCTGGTTAACGTCTAGCGCACCTGAGCGTCTCGGTAGATTTCGGGCATTCAGTGGTTGCTTTCAGGAAGCTGACCTTCCTGATATGTATCACCACGGTAACTGCACGTGTTTAAGAATGATCAGTTTCATGGTCTTTTCCGAAAATTAAGATCACTGATCGGAAAAGAAAGTTGTAAACTCTCAAGAGAGGTACGGATGGTCTCCGTAGAAATAGGAAATCTGAAGGAAGTTCGGTGGCAGATGCTCGTTTGGAGACTTTCTTCCTTTGGGAACTATTAACAAAGTAGAGTACCCCAGAGGTGGCCAACATGGGGGAAGAAGTATGTATCTTCTCCAAAAGGAGACTTCTCTTTCCGAGTGCCCACTGAGATCTGGATGATAAGAAATTTGTGTTGAACTCCTCAGCACGGTGCCTTGTATCTAGAAAGGTCGCTTGGAGGTTATCATTAAGCGTTTTTGACCACTTGTTCTTTTTCCGCAAAAGAACGAGGTAACTGGTGTTATTGTGGTTCAGCGGAATCCCAGAGAAGCCAGAGCTTGATTATTCCAGATCCCACATGGAGGAAAGCAAACATTAGTTGTTATAATAAACCACCGTATGCTTCTAAAATTATCCACAAGTTTTTACAAGGTCATCCGACTTCCGGATCAGCCGTATAAATCCTAAACACACTACCCTGGAAGAGTGAAATATTGGCTGTTACGTATACTACCTGATACATATTATGTTCAGGAAATATGTGGGGCAGTGAGACGATGGGCAATAGGACGCACAAGTTAGCTTGGTTGTTCGCAGCAAAGCTAACGCCTTATCTATCAACCATATCAAGCTGCGTCTGTTATTACCTCAAATTTACGGGGACCATTTTGACTTACTTGAGCCAGCCCCAAAGGACTGAATAGTGGTAGTTTCGGCAACACTTGGTAGTGTTGCAGTGAGTGGGACTGAATCCACTCGTTTGACCAAGAAAGAACTGTGCCTAGCGTTTTTCGTAATACCATCTCACTAAACACTGGAGGACGGTCACATCCGGTCGCATACAACAAACCAGCTGATTGGTGGAGAAAACAACGGACTTGTGATTATTCGCTTGTGTCAAACCTGGAGCCGATTTTCACATTGGCAACCACATAGTCCAGCTAGTGAGTGGTTGTGCGAGCTTGTTCTTCTCCTAAACGTTATTCTTTTTGTACCAAATATGGACAGAGAGTGTTGGCTTCAATTCTGAATCAGACTAGTCACAGTAGCAAAAAAGATGGAAGTGTGATAAGCCGGCTTCCACCTTTTATGATGGGAACAGTCTTTCAATGACCAACGAAAGTTATTCTTTGCGTGAATCACATTGACGCTATCAGTTACTGATCGATATAACTAAACCTTTGGTTGTGATTGTGATAACGATTTCAGCTGAAATCGCCGTGTCAGAGCAACTACGAACGCTTTACCTTGACCGATCAGTCCAACTTTATGGCTCATTATGTCCCTGGAACATCGGAAAAGTGTGTGGTTTCGATCAGCTTAGGATTAGATCCTAAATAACATATTCATCGAAATAATCATGTGGAATGTTGTGAGGACTTGATCACATGCATTAGGACGTTAGTTCGAATGGGACTATTCTGACGCGAGAACTGTTCGGTATGGCTAACGTACTACATAGCAGCCGTTAGCCCTAGGGGCGTTTCAAGTACCCTAAAGACAGCCCTTCAAATACCAGCGAGACAGGAGTAGCAGCTAGGTATATCCCTATTCACAACTTGTTAAAAAAACTCAGAGACAGTGTCTCAGACCCAAACTCCGTATATGCTCATACGGAGGCGTAGATGTCATATTTTGCTTCAGCTGAAAACGTATGATTTAGCTACCTGACAAACACTGGACCGGAAGACGAAGTGGGTCAGTTTGATGTGTGGATAACGTTCACTTCGTAGTTCATTGGGGAGAAAGTGCATCGCATGGGCGCTCTGCTAACCTGAACTCATTCACTTATAAGTTTACAAAAGGGCTCAGTGGTTAAGGCGCGGACTTACCGCCCGGGAGGTTTATGTTTCGAACCCTGATTGGGCTTGGGCGGCCTGGTAACACCTCGGTCCTCGTGCTTCCTTCGGGTGGCTCGGCAGCTATGGGCCCGAAGGGTGTTATGGCTGAAAGGTTATTATTTAGTAACTTAGTAATTTCACGAGCCACAATGACTAACGGGACTCTAGTATGTAGATGAACCCTGTCACCAAGTAGCTATTCAGAAGAGTTCGTCAACCTCACTGGACTCTGCTTCACACTCTCCCATTCAGTAAGGTATTCCTAATTCGCGCGAGAACTGTAACGAAAAGCCCATGAGGAATTCAACCGTGATCACGGGTGGAAAGTGCCATTTATCGAGGGGCTGTTTATTGAGTGTTTTGAACCGAATATTCTAGAAGCCTAGAAAAATAGGTGGCGTTAGCATGAAGACAATTTCGTGTATATCTAAGATAACATGGATGACAAACACAGTTCCAAAAATATTGGACAGTTACCATGTCAAGCCTTATAGGTGAAGAGCACTGCATTGAACCTGCATACTACTGCACTTAATAAACGGAGTCTCGTTCTCGTAAACAACGACAGAACCTTTGAATTCGATCATAATTCTAAATGCACTCAGTGATCTCACCAAGAGTCTCAATCACCCTTACACCTGGCTGACAAATTATTCTCGTCTTGTATTGCGCTGCACGACAAGCATCGAACTTTTTTCTGTCGATCAGTTCTCAGTATTCAAACCAGACCACATTTGCTTAACTGAATAGAACACTGAAGTTAATCGTCATCTGGCTCCTCTTACCAAGACATCGGTTTGTTAGCTTCATCTTCACACGGTTCTTGACGCCTGCACTATATGAATCAGATGGACCGTGGACCGCATTCTTGAGATCCAGCAATGAGGACTCAATCCTCAGTGTTGGTCTTCTGGGTTTCCCTCGAGGGTTACAACCTGGCATAATATTCGAGCAATTCCTTTTGTCTCTACGTGGAATTCTGTCTCTAATTCCGTCGATAGCAAGTTCATAGTGCGCCGGTCAACAATAAACAAAATGGTAGAGATCGCTACCCCGTACTTCTAAATGAAGAGTCATTTGGTGCCTGCTGTGCTTGATGGATAACAGCATGCAATACACAAGAGAGATTGCGCCTTACTACCAGCGAGTAAGATCGGGCACATGTACTCTCAGCTCCAACACACATGGGGAATACACCAAACCATTTGACCGATCGAACAAATGATGCAAGGAAAATTGTTCAGATCATAACTCGTATCATAAATCGCCAGATCCGGCTAAATTCGCCTTAGATCAGTGTACACGTTCTCGCGGGGCATTTTAAGTTGCTGCTACTAACTGAAGTCCATCACGTCCATATCGGGCCCGAAACACTGTAGTAGTGGAGACGGTTCCGAATATAACCTCATCCGAACAATTAAAGCCGACAACTGAATTATCCATTCTCGTTTGGTGCTTCCATATTGCTTGTTGATCTTTAGAACGGTCGTTTGCAGATGCCTTTACTTCATTTTGCTTTACCGCTCGCCGGCCTTGCGTGTGTCGGCATCCCTAATGTTTTTGGTCCATAGTCGAATGACTTAAGTGTTATATCTGCAGAGGCGCCCGTGACATAATCACCCTCGGTTCGACAGATAACTTAACATTTCCTTGTATTCACTTCAGCGGTTACAAGTGTCTAAATTTCTCGCCGAGGAGAAGTAACTTCTGCACTTACTCTTGCTCACACAGTATGATTCATCTCCATATTGGGTTGCTATCATAGCGACATCTTGTTCTTTTTAGTTCATCAACCTAATCGCTACTGACGACCACAGTCGAAGAGTGGTTTGTGGCCCCATGATGCCTGGAATTTACTGTCACCTAGCAGGCTCTAGCTACTTCAAAGTAGTGGTGTGCTGGGTCTACGCATGACACACAGTTACTAGGATGATGCTTCAAGTTGTTGGAATTAGGACTCGGCTCTGTGAACTTCGACAGTATTATAAGAATGACATTATTTCATTCGGCCCTGTTGGGATGAGACTGTCTACACGGAAGTTTACCATAAACAGGATGTATTTTATACACTGAGTACAACCAGGGTGCAGCAAGTGTAATTGGTTCAAGTGTTGTCGGTATAAATTGTTTCCAGCAATCAGTTGGGCCACGCTGAGTCGCACACAAAACCCCAAAAGTCAAATCGTCAAAATAGAGGTTTATCAACGAATGCGTGGTTGTGAATACAATAATAAAACAGTAAAATTATACAAGCCTCAAATGGTGGGACTACGCCGGCTTCCATCCACCGGTTTAAGAACTTCTAATTTCTAACGGGATCCCAAAGTCCACACCGACCCGAGACAAGGTAGTCACAAGATAGCGAAACTCATGTGTTGATTCAAACAATACATGCGATGATAAGGTCAAAGAGCTGCCTATGTTCAGGTTAAAACAAAAAAGGAGGTATAGGCAAAAAACGGAAACAACAGAACGGAGAATGACATTGTACACAATAAGAATAGAAGAAAAGTATCACCGGTCTCAGTAAAAGAGACTCTATCTGGCCAATTCTCTGCACACTGTCCTGGATTCACTGTTGTCTGGTATCCGAGATGCACGCCCAATGTTTCTGTGCCGACAGGCTGTCGCGCTGATCCGACTTGATTGCAACACACAAAAAGAACAAACAAACTATCTCGGTGTGAACGGGAATATGAACTGGGACAGGTGTAAAACAATGCATTCGTTTGAAACAGAATGCAACAAAGGATACTTTGTTCTGGTTCGATTGCAATACAAAATGTTGCAAAATCTGCAACACCGTTTGCTTTGTAAAAGGATAATGAAATTTAACCTGATTAGATATATGTACTTTAGCCGAACGCGATTTTACCGTGGAGTTGTTGGCAGTGCCTCTCTAAAAATCGGGTTTCTCAGCTTTTATGGTCTGGCAAATTTGAAATTGCTGGTGAAATGCATGCGTGATTCTAGACTGAACTGAGTTGGTCGACGGGGCCGATTTTTACGTGTCTCCACCGTAACAACTCATTTTTGAACAAGTAATCAAGAAACGAATTAGCAAACCGACTTTCTTTATGTCAAATGCTCAGCAAAGCCAAATCTATGCTAATGACATCCCCAAATGAGCAACGATCAACGTCCAACATACAGAGCTACAAATTTCTCTAGGATTAATGTCCTTTATTGAGGTTTGTCCGTCGAACTAGTCGTAACTGACAAAGAACTCCGCGTAGGAGATATTGGTTTTTGCGGAAGATCGCAGTAAGTCGACTACTGGCTTAGAAGCAGAAAGGAAGGTAAAAGAGAATAGGTTGCATATATGAATAATACACTTCGCTGGATGATAACAGTATTTCTTGATGAAAGTTCACCACATAAGATGATATCAAAGTAGCTTCACTTTCCGACGGTTTGTATGCTGTGAGAACGAATGTGGTTCATGGGTAACCCGCAAAACCACTTTGATAAACGCTCACTTCCCTTCATAAAAATTATCAACCTAACTTTCCTTGATTCTAGAGGGAGGCAGAAATTTTCTCTAGGTAGGGTACATTCTCTGTGAACACATGGGCTTCGCCACTAGACCATATTTGTACCGGAAATGTACCGGAATATCTGTAGCCTGTGTGGGTTCACTAGTGGTTGATCAGGTGGCCGTTGATCGGTTCTTCGTGCTTGGCAATTAGCTTGTAAAAGTTTCGTCATTAATCGAGGTCACATCATCATTCGCTCAGTGATTGTCACTACCAATGTTCTTGAAATCATCCCAAGCTGCATTTAAAAGGCCACTTGACTCTTGTCATGTCTGTAATGTTTCGGTGATTTTTTTCTGCCTTAAGTTAAGTACTTGGTTAATCGTGAGTTTGTACAACCTAGTTTTTAATACCCACGCGCCCTGATCGGTTGCACGGCTTGTGCGTAATCTGAAGCAGCTTTATGGCCATACAGTGCAGTTTTCTTAGGCCATAGGGGCAGAGGGACTGTCTGCAAACGGATGCTGACTACCTCTTCTCGCACTCGCCCTGTCCAGCTGAAAACCTACAGCAGACTGCCGATTGGCCAACACATCAGCTCTCTTACTTGCCCACGTGTGACCTAACATGATGAGTCATCGATCATTGAGACACCAGTTGTGCCGACGACATGTGATCTGAACGCATTTGTGTGTGCACAGCTCGCTGTCTAGTCAGTGTCTTAGATACGTAGGCTGACGTATCATCTCTAGGTTAGCGAGTGTGGAACTCACTGTGCTCAAGTAACCTCGGCTCTGCGCGGAGGCACCTGAGTAATAGAAGTGCGAACACAACTAGTCAACGGGTAGCGGTAGTCCGCTCAGCGTCCGATGTGTGAATGTTTCGGAAACCAATCGGTTGCTAAGGCAACCATTTTTTCGGCGTAAAAGTTTATCCTCGGTAGGTTTACCCGAGATTATGCCGTGCAATTGATTTGTTTACGAAAGGGATCTTTCAAGGTCACTAAATTGCTCGAAATAAAATAAAATAACACTTTCCCAAAAATGTAATAAGATGAAGATGAAAGCAGGCTGTAGGTATTCTTGTATTCAAAACGAGGTGCACAATAATTTGTATTAGATGTATAAATTTTTAAGGCAAAATTTGCTGAAGACTTTTCCCTATTTCGAGGGTTGTTGATATCGCGCTGGTCTATTCAGCGTAATTATGACAACGCAAACATTGATCAAGGTTTATAAGTTCGTATAAATGTGCAGAGACGTAGTGTCGTTTCCATTTTTTGTCATAGGGTTCCGACGAATTGTTAAATTCCATACGTTTCCACAGCTTCTCCTGAAGACTGCTTGGTATCACTCTAGAGGCGTTGAACCACTGCAGATGTTTGCAAATCACTGTTAAAAACATGTTGCGCTCAGCTTAGAAAAAGTGTAGCCTGATCAGTTGTAATGGATTCCTGCAGGAAACAGCCAAGTACACGATTGAACATGCTACATCAGCGAGGATAATGGGTAAATCTCAAGTTATGAGTGAATAATACTCAAATTTCGTTGGTCGTGTGGGGAGATTTGGATGTTTCCAATGGAGATTTCGTCCTGTAGGTGAAGCCAATCTATTCTGAAAAGCCAAGAA